CGCTTTTACACACAAACGCTTTTACACACAAAAGCTTTTACACACAGACGTTTTTACACACAAACGCTTTTACACACAAAAGCTTTTACACACAGGCGCAAAAGCTTTTACACACAAACGCTTTTACACACAGAAGCTTTTACACACAACACTTTCACACACAGAGGCTTTTACACACAAAAGCTTTTACACACAGAGGCTTTTATACACAGAAGCTTTTACACACACACTCTTTTACACACAAAAGCTTTTACACGCAAAAGCTTTTACACACAAACGCAAAAGCTTTTACACACAGGCGCTTTTACATACAAACGCTTTTACACACAGACACTTTTACACACAGACACTTTTACACACAGACGATTTTACACGCAGGCACTTTTACACACAGACACTTTTACACACAAACGCTTTTACACACAGACGCTTTTACACACAGACCCTTTTACACACAAACACTTTTACACACAGAAGCTTTTACACACAGAGAGACACTTTTACACACAGACGCTTTTACACACAGACGCTTTTACACACAGAAATTTTTACACACAAGCGCTTTTACACACAGACGCTTTTACACACAAACGCTTTTACACACAGAAGCTTTTACACACAACACTTTCACACACAGAGGCTTTTACACACAGAAGCTTTTACACACAAACGCTTTTACACACCACACAACACTTTCACACACAGAGGCTTTTACACACAGAAGTTTTTACACACAGACGCTTTTACACACAGACACTTTTACACACAGAAGCTTTTACACACAGGCGCTTTTACGCTTTTACACACAGACACTTTTATACACAGACGCTTTTACACACAGGCGCTTTTACACACAGACGCTTTTACACACAGACCCTTTTACACACAGACGCTTTTACACACAGAAGCTTTTACACACAGAGACTTTTACACACAGTAAAATCGCAATTTTTCCTCAGTTTTTGACGTCCAACGTCCATTTCGTGCGTAAGGGTTGCGATTGACACCTCAAAGTCGCAATTTTTCCTCAGTTTTTGACGTCCAACGTCCATTTCGTGCGTAAGGGTTGCGCGGGACACCTCAAAGTCGCAATTTTTCCTCAGTTTTTGACGTCCAACGTCCATTTCGTGCGTAAGGGTTGCGATGGACAAAGTAAAATCGCAATTTTACCTCAGTTTTTGACGTCCAACGTCCATTTCGTGCGAAAGGGTTGCGATGGACAAAGTAAAATCGCAATTTTACCTCAATTTTTGGCGTCCAACGTCCATTTCGTGCGAAAGGGTTGCGCGGGACACTTCAAAGTTGCAATTTTTCCCCAGTTTTTAACGTCCGCCCCCGCCTTAAGAGAGAATAGAAGAAGAGCGAGAGGAGATCTGCAGATGTGAAGGTCTGAAGATCTAGATCTGCAGGTGTGAGGGTGCGAAGATCTAGATCTGCAGGTGTGAGGGTGTGAAGATCTAGATCTGCAGGTGTGAAGATCTAGATCTGCAGGTGTGAAGGTGTGAAGATGTAGATCTGCAAATGTGAGGGTGTGAAGATCTACATCTGCAGGTGTGAGGATGTGAAGATCTAGATCTGCAGGTGGGAGGGTGTGAAGATCTAGATCTGCAGATGTGAGGGTGTGAAGATCTAGATCTGCAGATGTGAGGGTGTAAAGATCTAGATCTGCAGGTGTGAAGGTGTGAAGATCTAGATCTGCAGATGTGAGGGTGTGAAGATCTAGATCTGCAGATGTAAGGGTGTGAAGATCTAGATCTGCAGATGTGAGGGTGTGAAGATCTAGATATGCAGGTGTGAAGGTGTGAAGATCTAGATCTGCAGGTGTGAAGGTGCGAAGATCTAGATCTGCAGGTATGAAGGTGTGAAGATGTAGATCAGCAGATGTGAAGGTATGAAGATGTAGATCGGCAGATGTGAGAGTGTGAAGATCTAGATCTGCAGGTGTGAAGGTGTGAAGATCTAGATCTGCAGGTGTGAAGGTGTGAAGATCTAGTATAACGGCTGCTTTTTTACGAAGAACCCTTCGCAGGCGCTCTCGGGAATAAAAACCCAGCCTCATACCCACCGCTTCCAACAAATAATCCACTATAGAATGAAAACCTGAATCCAAATGATTAGGAAAAAGATCCCCTATAGAATAGAAAACTGAGTTTATTTACCTCAAGTTTGGTGTTACTTTTAAATATATTATATTTATTTTCCCAAACTGCAATCTAAGTACCATTCTATAGTAAAAATTGGCCTACCAACCTCATCTCTATAGAATCGAGCCCCCAGGTTACCTATTTTATAGAAATACTTTCATGGAGGATCTAATTAATACGAAGCGTTAGTGGTTATAACACTATCCCTCAACCTGTCGGTCCTAAGCTCGATATCCGGGACTAATCAAACAAGTGGTCAATTAATCCAGCTCTGCAATTCGGAAACGAAGAGCCAGACTCAGAGTAAAATCAAATTACTAATCGGAAAAAAGTATAGAGCGCGCGCGCAATTTCCCGAATTTAATTTACCCAAAAATCTAATATATATTAAAAAAATAGTAAATACAAATTTAATTTGTACAAATTCAAACTAAATTTATATTTCTTAAATCCCCCTATTCGGAAGTCGAAATTTTACTACTTTATTTTAATTTTCTCAAAAAAAAAAAAGGAAAATTCTTTCCTTCCCAATCAGTATTCCACTAAGTAAATGCAATACGATCGGTCAGGGTCGGTCGAAGGGTTCGATTTCCCCCTAGTTCATTATCGTTCGGTAGATTTTTTATTTAAATTAAAAAATAATTCTGAATTTAACGCGCGCGCGGAATTTCCCGATACCAATTTTTCCCAAAATCTGCCATAATTTTGAAATTTTCGCCCCGAGCCCAATTTTCCTAAAAATCTACATTTCCTCCTGCGCGGAAATCAACCATTTACTACTTTTTTAGGAATTTTCGTTTTGTATTTCCATTATTTTAAATTAAGCACATATCCATCACTTTATTGAATTCACTATATAATTTAAAACATGTATATCAGCTTTGGCGAATGTAGCACAACATTGCTTGGCGTAACAAATACCAAAACGTCATGTCCAGAGATATATTGAGCCTACTGGTCGTGGGTACGAGTATTCTTTTAGTATCGCTGACTTTGCATTGGAAAGGCCGCTGATATAAGCTCGCCAAGCTAGCGGAATGAAATTGCACAACCAAATCAATCGCATAAAAATATGGCTACACATTTAGTCATGTTAATCCGGTGGCGGTGCCCTTGGTGTAGACCGCATGGTTGTTCACTGTTGCGCCCCAAGAAGTGCAAGCCGCAATATGTAACGGCATGTCCTCAATTTATTACTATCAATATTCTACCAGGTAGGAATTACCAAATATTTTAAGTTAAATCCCTGCAGAACGAACTACGCACGATTTAAACGCGACCAATTTGGAACCAGCTCCAACTCTTAAAACCAGTCCAGTGTGTAAAATCACACTTGTGTGTGACGCATGTTTGTATGTATCAGCATGCTTGTAAGTAAAATTGTCTGTCTCAATTCTTCTTCTTGTGTTTCCTTCGTTTCATATTTCTTTTCTTTCTCCTTCAATTTCTTCATATGTACCTACTTTTCACAACATCTCTGCACCATGTCTCATCATTTTACACATCATCGTATATTTCTATCTTTACGTTTCGTGCTATTAGATCTTCATACTTATACCTCTCACTATGCTCCTCTACGCTCTCGGGCCATCCGTCGTCTAGTTTCATCCCAAAATATTTTGTTTTTCACGATATAATATAGTTGAGATTGGGTAAAATTATATATATATATGAATTGATTTGATATCATATAGATTTAGTTTTTTGAATTTCCAAATTTCGGAGTGTTGTTGGTTATCTGTTTAACTGCTCTATGCATGGGCACTCACTCCTGACACCTGGAGAGGCTGTTTTAGCTCTGGGATCTTGAGAATTCAGTATCAAAATCAATAAACGTCTGGAAAGCTCAGATTTTTGATCTTTTGACCGGCATGAGGATACCTTAACATTCAGCATCATTGGGCATCATTCGCCCCTTTTTGGTGGTTTCGAACCATGGTGTTTTGCAGCCTTGCGGGTAAACCTCCGTCCCTGAGCCGGGCGAATTCAGTGACACGCGCCGCAGCTGAAGCTAGACATGGCAGTCACATGGTGCAACCTTGTTGAGCTTACGAGTCTCGTGTTTATGCAACGTTCTCAGGCCTCCAAAAATATTCATGCAATCATCCTGATGTAGACTGAACACAGCCGCTAGTTTCAATATTTAGATGATTTTCGTATTGTGGACGATCCAATTTCATATTATGTTCCAGGATGGGTATAACTCCATTCAAGCTTCTGTGGAACGCTTTACTGGCTTCAAATCCACGCCTTTTTGGAGAAGAGTGTAACAAAAGACACTTACAACTATTTGCCAGCACTTCCGCCAAAAGATGCCCACTGTGTGTTTTCCTACTATATGATCTACTCCATCCAGCATCCAAACTAGCAAACTCAACTGCTGGATAGAGATCCCAAAGTTTCAAGCCCATAACTCCCATAGGCAACGTTAAACTGAACAGCCATATGTGTTGAAAAACAGGGGGCGGCTTTCAAACTCATGGGTTTCACGGACAAAATAGACAATTCATACCCTGCGTATCTGTTCCATCCACTTCCTACACCTGGGGCCTGACTTTCTTCCAAGGGCTGAGACCCCAAAGGTCTGACCATGGGGATCTGTCACGAATCCAGCGTCAGCAAGTCATCAGAGAGGCTCTGGCTGCGTTTCCGTATGGCCGTAGCATGTGTTGATGTGGAGGCATCTGGTTGTACCATGTTGTACCCATGGTGGCATATGGTGGCATATGGTGGCATATGGTGGCATGGGACATCTGAATCTATTTATGTCTATTTGATAGGTGAAAACAGGTTTTTCAATCTTTTTCGATCTTCTCAGTGATGGTTGGTTCTTCACAAAAGCCCCCTGTTGATGTGTCTGGGATGGAGCAAAAAAAACCGCGTAAGTCTTTAGCAAACTTTCCTGAATCCATAAATCTTGGGAAATCCAATAGACCTGCTCAACAAATATTCAGATTTGCTTACGGGGTCCCCAAAAAGTAAAACATATGTCCTTGTAGACTCCCCAAATGGATCCAAATGGTGAATTGTCCATTGGGAAAATAACAAAAAAAACCTTAAACAAACCCAGGACTATTCAATATCCATGGGGAAAGAAACACCTGGCAGCTGATGAAGGGCTGTCTGCATAGCAGCGAGCTTCTCATCGCCCATTTCGAGGCGGAAAGCTAGTCATGACAGCTGTCGACCTTGCCATCGCTTCATTCTGTGGTCTCATGCCGCGAAAAACAAACGAACTTAACGAGAAACATCTAAAGGAACTATCGTGGAAGGATCCACTTAAGCACTTGTTTCAGAAAATAGGAATGAGAAACCATTGGCCAAACATCTTCGGAACAGGCTTCTTTTGGGACTCTGAGTCAGTGCCTATGAAGCTTTGACACGTCCATGCTTTGACAGACGACGGACCTGAACCCAGACTCAGCTCTGGAATGGGAATGGAATATCCTTGGTGACATCACATGTGGCAAAACATGAGTTGTTACCCTCTGGTAAACTAACATAACTATGGAAAATCACCATATTCACCATTTTTAATGGGCAAATCAACTATAAATGGCAATTTTCAATAGTTGTTGCATGTAAAAATCGCAATACCAAAAACTTTCTGCCATACCCGGGCTAGTCGATTGACATTCGTTCCGCTTTCACTCCTCTCCAACTCTATACAGTAACCAGTCTGTGTAGCCCCAGTCTGAACCATCATTTCTCATCATTAGCCCTTCATGTTACCACGACTCATCGAAACGATCCGACGATCGTAGCAGCAGTGGGGTCAATTCTCCTCATTTCTCCTCATTTTTTGTTGAATTTTAGAGGACTTGATCAGACTTGATCCCCAAAACCATCAAAACCATAGGTTTTATAATAGTAAAATGAACGAATTTTGGAAGATTTTGGGGTACCCCCTTCCTTTTCGTCCTCATTTTCGGCAGCCAAATAAATCGCAGGCACTGGGGTGGTAGCCCTGGGGGATAAGAATCATGCGGATCAGTGTCCCAAATATGGAAACCATTTAGTAAAAATAGGTAATTGAACATAAATATTTACATATACAGTACATAAATATATGATTGAAACACCTTGAAAGTTCGGGAAATATGGTTGAACATAGACATATTTGGAACAAGAAACTCGAACAAATATATGATCCAGATATGTTTTCCCTGCATTCAGAGGCTCAAATCACAGAAGTACGACAGCAGAACGGCCGTTGACACAATTTGGCGATTATATCTAACTGTTTGGGAAAACTGCTACTAAAGTAATCTCCAGTACATATCAGTACATATGATTATATAGTGTGTTTGGAATAGCTGCTACTAAAGGAATCTCCACTACATCATGACATATGCCCTTCCTCAGCGATTCGTGCTCCACCCATCGCCCCAGAAGTGTTCCAAGGCGCAGAAAGACTTGCCAGATTCTGGGCCGGCGAGATGCACCCGATGATTTTTTTCAGATTGCGAATGCCACGTGTAATGTGGGTAAAACAATGTCATAAACCATCCCCCAAATCATCATTTTTGTAGGTGATATGTTTACCATTCCCAATCATGCGTGGTTTATTATTTGTTGTTTTACTCACACTCGCACGATGGTCATTTTTTGGCCATGCAAGCCATGATGTTTCTGGGGATATGGACATGGCATCCACAAAGATCCATGATGTATCCTACTGGCCATTCGCTTGTCTCAAGTTGAGTCTCCCTTGGTGCGGGAAGGTGCATCCGATTTCAATGAGAAAATAGTTTTGGAACATGATTTACTATGATTTTCCAACATATTCAGTTTGATTTATGGTGACATGCTAAATACAGTAATGCATTGGTCGTTATAATCAGTTCTAATCCCCCAATCAACCACGTAGTGTAACACCCTTCATTAGCCAACACGGGTATGTGTAACGGTTCTGGTGATTTCAAGCAGCTACCAGTATGGTAAATCATTTGGTTCGATGATTTCCCGTTTTTAAAACATGATGATTTCCAGTTCGCAAACTGTTGGCCATTACCACATGGTATCATTTTTTTTTCGAACATATCCATTATTTCCCAATGAAATCCAGATATATCGTATATCCCATTGTATAAATTCATGGTTGATATCCTCGTTGAAATCCTGTTGAATGGTTCAATTCTGATGGCAATGTGGAAAATGACCAGCACATATGTCTACAGTGGATTTCCAGTTGCCATGGAGGCATTGTTGATTGTTGAATCCCATGAAAACACCAGGAAATTCGATGAAACCCCCATGAAAAATCGCAATAAATCACATTAAATTCCAATAAATCCCATTAAATCCTATTATATAAATCCTATTAAATCTCCAATCTCCATTAAACCATGAAACCTCCTCCTTTTTTTCCCCAGATACCCGTGGAATTGCCGCAGGCGAGCTGTAGCTTTGCTATCTGAGCTCTGGACGTTCTTCATCTACAGACTCCAGCTGCGCCTGACAGCACCGGTCACTGACCAAGCTATCCTCTGTCTGTAGAAAATGTGTATTGTATGTAGGTATGTAGGTATGTAGGTATGTAGGTATGAATGTATGTATGTAATGAATGAAACGTGTGTAACGTATGTAACGTATGTAACGTATGTAACGTATGTAACGTATGTGACGTAGGTAACGTAGGTAACGTAGGTAACGTAGGCAACGTAGTTAACGTATTAAACGTATGTAAGGTATGTAAGGTATGTAACGTATGAAAGGTATGTAAGGTATGTAAGGTATGTAAGGTATTTAAGGTATTTAAGGTATGTAATGTATGTAATGTATGTAATGTATGTAATGTATGGAATGTATGTAATGTATGGAATGTATGTATATAATAAATGTAACGTATGTAACGTATGTAATGTATGTAATGTCTGTAATGCATGTAACAAATGAAATATATGTAATGTATGTAATGTATGTAATGTATGTAATGTATGTAATGTGTAATGTATGTAATGTCTGTAATGCATGTAACAAATGAAATATATGTAATACATGTAATGTATGTAATGTATGTATTGTATGTAATGTATGTAATGTATGTAGTGTATGTAATGTATGTAATGCATGTAATGTATGAAATGTATGTAATGCATGAAATGTATGAAATGCATGTAATGTATGGTCTGTCTCTCTGTATGTATGCATGTATGTAATGTAATGTTATGTTATGTATGTATGTATATATACATACTGAGGTGTATATATATATACTGATGTGTATATATATATATATATATATGTATATATATATGTATATGTACACAGTATAACTATATATATATATACACACGATGTTATATATATATATTTGATTATTCATGTATAGATTTACATGTGAATTTACTCCAATTTTCTACATAATCATGTAATCACGTAAAACATATACAACTGTATATACACAAATGTACCATATGCACGACCAAGGCCTATAGGCAGCCAATTTCTTGGGAGTGCAATCCCACAGATTTAGTTAGACATGGAATGGAGCAAAAAAAGAGTTGTCACATTCCCACCACCCCTCTTATATAGATTGTTAGATGTGATTGCATGTATCCATATGCACGCTTACACGTTTTTCTTAAATTGTCTGTTAGAATTGCAAATGACTATATGCAATATGTGTGTTTTGAAATGATACCACTTAAGCAAGTTGATTCATGAATAAACCACTATCTCACACCAAATGCTCCTAGCAACAGAAGTTACATCATTTTAAAACTAACCATTTATTAATGTTGTATATTCTATTCCAGGATGCAAAGTCCACACATTCGTATGGAATGTGGTGCAGCTCGTTCTTTTGCTCTGTATGTGTTTTTGCAAATGCAAGCGATTGCTTGTAGTTCTTTGCAAACCTCATTGGAAAAGTTGACTTCTGTCAAAAAACTTGTGGATACCAGGGATTGTTCATAGCATATGACAGCCTGTGTTGAGGTGAAATGTACGTATTTTTGCTCCAAAACCTAGGTTTTGGACCCCCTTTAAGCATGTACGGGTAACACTGTAAATGTCAGTATGTTTTAAGGTTTTTGGAGCAACGTTCACTTCCCCATGAATTTTCGTTCTGCAAAGTGCTCGGAACCAGCCTTTAACTTCGTACACAGCGCCTGGGCGGATGGATTGGTTGACAGGAAGCATCAGGAACCACGGTTTTCCCTATCAAATTTGAGGCTTTCCTGCAAAGTTTGCCTTCAACATCCCTTAAAAAAACAATTCAGTGGGAAATATGTGAAGACTCTCAACGACTGGGATACTCCCAGTCATTTTTAATTGCAATCGGCTACAAACTGTTCCGCTACCACTTGAAGTTATCCCTCCAAAGCATTCCAAAGTTCCCCGTTTGGCAGGTGAAACATGTTGACATGGTGGTCCTAATCCATGTACTACCAAACTACCAATACGGAGTCTCCTAGTATGAGTGCGAAAGTCATTAATGTACCAACCTACCAAACTTGATGACCATCAAGAAAACTGTGAGTTCATATGACGTCCCAACTAATCAACCATCTATCTATCCATCTATCCATCCATCCATCCATCCATCCATCGATCCATCTATCCATCTATCCATCTTTCTTTCTTTCTTATCTATCTTATCTATCTTATCCATCTAATCTATCTAATTTATCTCATCCATCTAATCGGTCTAATCCATCTAACCTATTTATAAAATCAATCTAATCATTTATCAACTACATCCCCCTTACATTTGATGGATCTGGTATGATCTGGTGCATCTACCACTACTTGCTGCTACAAATCTCTGGATCCCGGCCTTGAGAATGGCATTGCCGCGATCTGTTTGCGGCTGTCCACCACTCTTCTTTGCCTGTCACAGTTGTGGAAAAGTTTTCGGAAAGCTTTGCTTGTTTCTGCTGAACATCTCAAATTGAGGAATTCTTGTTACAGAATGCAGCTTTCAAATGATAAGTCATGTCAATAAATATTGCTGTGAAGCTGTGTGTCAATCTCCACGCCTTCTATTAAAAGTGTGCGTCAACATGTACGTGATTTACCCTGACAACTGGTGCAACCTCCAGTCCGTTCCTGACGCCTCTTCCGCGCGAATCCGGAGATGCTCCAAGACACGCTGCTTAAACTCCATGTCAATGTCGTCCATGCCCTGTTGCGGTCGCCGGAGACCCAACCATGGGGGAGAGACAGAGAGAAAAGCGCGACCAAAAAAATATACATAAGGTTGATGTATGACTGATATATAGCTGATATATGCTGATATTTTGACCTATCTTCATGTATCATACCACCCGTTTTAATCTTTTGAGATGTTAGCCGATTAAGACCCTTTCTTTTGATTCGTCTAGCAGTCTTCTTGTTTCTTACAGCGCATTGGCAGCTTTGTTTGTGACATTTCGATTTGTTGTGTACAAAAGAAATATATATACATAAACAATCATAGAAATAGATCTGCAAATCCCCAATGGTGAATTCCCAGCTTTGATGCCTGAGATTTATACATCTAAATTTGACAAAGACATTCACACGCACACACTTTGTGAATGAACCCAACTGTTCACTTCACAACTGTAGTCAAATCATGTGGGTTTATTTGAAAATAGGGTACCCACAAAAAAAAAAACTGTTTATCATCAATATGCCTGTAGCTTGAGGATCCCCGTTTCCGTTGATCAACTCCATCAAACCATGATCAACTAGGGCATTTTGGGCTGCCCAAATCCCTTTTTCAATCCCCTACTATGACATTGCATATATATATACATATCCCCAGTAAATATCCCCAACTAATGGTTGGCTTTGAACACCTTGTTTTCTTTAGGCCGTGACGTACCGTTCTTCTGTTCTGTTAATATGCCCATATCATGGCTGCTTCCATTTGATATATATTTTTAATACCGTTGGCTATATAAATGTGGTTGAATTATATCAAGACCTTCACGTCCCACATATTGGGGGTTGCATATGGCTTTGTCCAAAATTCGGATACCTCAAAACTGGCTTATCATATCTTATCATCACATTTTCTCTATCAAAACAGCCATGTGCTCCAGACACAGATGGGTGAGTATATAATATGCGGTATAACTCAACAATGTCAGTTTTCATAGGGCAAGTGATGATACACTGATCACATGGCCGCGCAGCCATTGGGTTGCCTCCTCCCCGCCAATTTCTGCAGCATGGAGCTCCGCCGAGGCTTCTTTGGCCTTGGTGCCATTGGATGAAATCAAGAAACGCTCAGCGGATAAACCTGGGATAAGCCCGATTTTCAATAGGACACAACCATGGCAAAACAATGGGATATTGATGTGAGATAGAATCGGGATTAAACAATTTTTGGATCTAACATGATCTAACCAACTATATTGGGGTAGGGTATCTCTTAAGATAGGGTATACCGCCCAAATGGCAACCTTAATGGAGAACATTATGATGATGAATCAATGGACTATCTTGGGCAAAACAATTTTCACACAGATCCAAACAGGTGAAAACATCAGACTTGAGCAGTTGGTTCATTTTAGCCATCACACATGGATCAAACAGGGGTCACACACACAGTGCAGAAAAAAACATCCCACAACATCGTTTTTGTTGTTTCCAGATGTTTCCAGTATTAAACCATCAATTTGTGTAAGTCCGACATGTTTCAACTTTCCTTAAATGGCCTCCCATTCATGAATAGATGAATAGATGCCATGTATACCACCACGGATTCGTTTGGGAGTGGTTCATCCTCTTGGGCCGAGCTTACATTTTCTCGGAGGATAATGAGATTACAGCACAATGAGGGAGTCATTCCAATTTGCTTGGAAATCGGGCATATGTTTCTTGCAGCCCTTTTTCCCCAGTCGATTTTGTTGCAATCCCCGAGCCCTCTAAGACTAGATGGAATGCTTGTAAAACAGTGCAACTGGGGATCTCAAATTGAATGGTCTGTTTTACGGTTTGAACAAATCCGGTTCCCCCCAACCGAATCCTTTTTTCTGTATTTCGTCCCCTCAAAACAAATGGGGCAACCCCTCAGTTAGGTCAACCGTTAGGTCAGTTGGGAGGCCATCTTTCGACAAATAGGGATTTCCCTATTGGATTATTATAATCCCCAATATATTGGGTAGTATAATCCCCTATAATTTAATATCCTATAATCATCAACCAACAGATGTGGATCGAAGCCACTGCTCATCTAAGCTTCAGGCAGCCTCTTTCTTTCTCTGTCTTTGTCTCTTTCGGCGCTCCTCAAGTTGTGCATTGGCAGGCATCCCAAGATTTTAAGCAAACCAACTGGAAACCCAACACATTTCGAAAGCTTCCAAGCGATGATGTAATGAACCATATATACACATTGATGTGCACATCTCTATCTATATATACACGTGTGTAAATAAATAAATAAATAAATATATATATGGTTGTTGATCAAAATTCCTTTATCCCGGAACGGCCATTCTTCGCGAATAAAAATTTTACTTTCGCGAAACTTTCGCGAACTCCATGTTTATCTTTCGCGGGGCCCATGTTGGCCAACAACACCTCTTATGAAGATTCGTTCACCGCCTGCCAAATTACGCCAGAGAATCACGGATCACTTCTTGGTAGCCTTTTAAACATGCAGCTAGCATCACGGAATCCCTTCTCAGGACAGATTTTTTTTGCAAAGTTTACTGGCCCACCCCCTTCAACATGCACTTTGACTTTCGCCCGCTCTTTCGCATAACTTTCGCGGAACTTTCGCGAAAATATCCCTATTCACAGACCCCGGCCATCAGCAGGGGGTGCACTGAAGGAAAAGCGAAGACCAGGGGCCTTGGTGTTTGGCTCTCGCAAAGCCTCACTTTTGGAAACTTGGCTACTGCTACTCGCATTCTCTGGTGCCCTTCTCCTGCCGGACCCCGGGCGGCAGTGGGTGGCAGCCCTTTACATATAATGATTATAATACCCAACTTTCGCGAAACTTTCGCGAAATAAAATTTTACTTTCGCGAACTCGAAAAAAAACTTTCGCGAGGGTTTCCAACATAACATGCACGGCTTTCGCAATTAAAACTCCTTACAAGGACCTTTAGATCGATCACCATATATATATATGATTATATATGCGTCAAATGCGGCACCCCTTTTCATCAACCCAGTTCTCCGTATGTTTCTGACCCCCACGTGCCTTTGTGCCAGTGGTTGGCTCGAGGGCCACTTGCCCGACTTGCCCACCCTTTTTGCCCTGCGCGACTTGTACCCCCCAAAAAAAACATGGGAAAAAGTCCATGGATAGTTCACTATCCTAGGCAAAATCCCATAGTAATCTGGTAAACGCAATAGGCCCAATATTAAACCATCCCAATCTTCCCACAAATAGGCTGTCTGAACTCAAATGGGGGGATGATTTTCCGGTCCACATTTAAAACTCATTGAAAGCATCAGTAGATTGCAGGCTTTATTTTGTAGGCTGCACTATATCAACTCATATCAGGCGGGATCCAACATCTCTTTAGGTCCTGGGACTTGCCACTTCCCATTTTTGCACTTTGGGTTTGATGATCTGATGCTGTCCAGTTCCTGAACCGTTGAACAAACCTGTTTTGGCAACTTCTTGAAGGCTGAAATTTTCTGAAATCCCATGAAATGTCCCTGCAAACTTACATACTACCTACTACCTATGTTGTAGCTGTGTACCAAGTGTCCATAAGCTTCCATGTTATTGGTATTTATTCTGCGTATGGCATCATATGGCAGCAATGAACCAGCTACGCAACAACTTCACTTAGAGCCGGGTGCTTGAAAAAACCTAGCAATGCCACATTACTCCCTACACTACATAGCTACATCCTAGCAATTACTCCCAACAGCCACAAAAAACCGCACCCCAGCCTTGGACTGCTCCTTGTCTTCGAGAGCTAATAGCTCCTTGGGACCACAGTTTGTTTGTATGATTATCTGGTTGGTGGTTTTAACAATCTTGAAACATATTAGTCAATGGGAAGGATTATCCCATATATTATGGAAAAATGTTTGAAACCACCAACCAGTTATGTATTAAATTTTAAAACACTGTGTGCTTAGCAGTTGTGGACTCATTTTGACGAGTTGAATCGATTTGATCTGAAATGTTGCATGGACTATGGTGTGCTAGGAAATGATAGGGCAGTTGACCATACAATATTTGTTATCTTCGACAGCTGGGCAAACCATTTCCCACATGCTATAGCCAGTGATACATCATGTGATACAACCTTTATGAGAACAGTCTTCGGGACTCTTCAAAAATGCGAGTCTATATTTTGTATATTTATGTAATATATGTGCGCATTCTATGCGCTTGTATGTGTGTATACATAACGTGTATAAGTGTGTATGTATATATGTAAAAACTAGACGACGGATGGCCCGAGAGCGTAGAGGAGCAGGGTCTTCTCTTGTTAGTATGGAGACACCATATGACAAAACAATATATTAAAGATGTATTATAGGCAGACAAGAAGAGGAGTATCAAGACAATATAGCACAAGCACACGACAATAGTTTGCATCGCAAACCCTTTTACACACAGAAACTTTTACACACAGAAACTTCTACACACAAAAGCTTTTACACACAAAAGCTGTTACACACAGAAGTTTTTACACACAGTCACACACAGACGTTTTTACACACAGACGCTTTTACACACAGACGCTTTTACACACAAACACTTTGACACACAGACACTTTTACACACAAACACTTTTACACACAAAAGCTTTTAGCCACAGAAGCTTTCACACACAGAAGCTTTTACACACAGACGCTTTTCCACACAGACGCTTTGACACACAGACGCTTTTACACACAGACGTTTCTTCCGGAGAGCGTCTGAGCGCAGGGTTCTTCCAATAGTGGGGGTCTGTAAAACATCTTCTCATCTTCACATCCTCTCATCTTCACATCTTCACATCCTCTCATCTTCACATCTTCTCATCTTCACATCCTCTCATCTTCACATCCTCTCATCTTCACATCTTCTCATCTTCACATCTTCTCATCTTCACATCCTCTCATCTTCACATCCTCTCATCTTCACATCCTCTCATCTTCACATCTTCTCATCTTCACATCTTCTCATCTTCACATCTTCTCATCCTCCCATCTTCTCCTCATCTTCTCGTCTTCACATCTTCTCACATCTTCTCACATCTTCTCACATCTTCTCACATCTTCTCACATCTTCTCACATCTTCTCACATCTTTACATCTTCTCATCTCACACCTTCTCCTCTTGCCCTCTTGCCCTCTTGCCCTCTCCTTCTTTTCTATTTCTTTCTTTGAAGGCGGGAGCAGGGGCAGTGGCAACGAGACGGCACGAAACGCAACCCTTTCGCACGAAATGAGGTTCGATCGTCAAAAACTGAGGTAAAATTGCGAATTCAACTTGTCCGGCGCAACCCTTTCGCACGAAATGAGGTTCGATCGTCAAAAACTGAGGTAAAATTACGCTTTCAACTTGTCCGGCGCAACCCTTTCGCACGAAATGAGGTTCGATCGTCAAAAACTGAAGTAAAATTGCGATCTCAACTTGTCCCGCGCAACCCTTTCGCACGAAATGAGGTTCGATCGCCCAAAACTGAGGTAAAATTGCGATTTCAAGGTGTCCGGCGCAACCCTTTCGCACGAAATGAGCTTCGATCGCCAAAAACTGAAGTAAAATTGCGATCTCAACTTGTCCCGCGCAACCCTTTCGCACGAAATGAGGTTCGATCGCCCAAAACTGAGGTAAAATTGCGATTTCAAGGTGTCCGGCGCAACCCTTTCGCACGAAATGAGGTTCGATCGTCAAAAACTGAAGTAAAATTGCGATCTCAACTTGTCCCGCGCAACCCTTTCGCACGAAATGAGGTTCGATCGGCAAAAACTGAGGTAAAATTGCGATTTCACTTGTCCCGCGCGACCCTTTCGCACGTCCCTTTCGCACGAAATGAGGTTGGATCGCCAAAAACTGAAATAAAATTGCGATGTGTGTAAAAGCGTCTGTGCGAAAAAACGTCTGTGTGTAAAAGCGTCTGTGTGTAATAGCGTCTGTGTGTAAAAGCTTCTGTGTGTAAAAGCGTCTCTGTGTAAAAGTGTTTGTGTGTAAAACTGTTTGTGTGTAAACTTTTGCGTGTAAAAGAGTACATGGGCCGGCCTCTGTGTAAAAGCGTCTGTGTGTACAAGTGATTGTGTGTAAAAGCGCTTGTGTGTAAAGCCGTCTGTGTGTAAAAGCGTCTGTGTGTAAAAGTGTTTCTGCGTAAAAGTGTTTGTGTGTAAAAGCTTTTGTGTGTACAAGCGTCTGCGTGTAAAAGCGTCTGTGTGTAAAAGGGTTTGTGTGTAAAAGTGTTTGTGTGTAAAAGTGTTTGTGTGTAAAAGTGCCTGTGTGTAAAAGCGTCTATGTGTAAAAGCTTCTGTGTGTCAAAGTGTTTGTGTGTAAAAGCAGCTCCTGTGTGTAAAAAGGTCCGTGTGTAAAAGTGTCTGTGTGTAAACGTGTCTGTGTGTAAAAGTGTCCGTGTAAAAGCGTCTGTGTGTAAAAAGATCTGTGTGTAAAAGCGTCTGTATGTAAAAGCTTCTGTGGGTAAAAGCTTTGTGTGTAATAGCCTCTGTGTAAAAGCTTCTGTGTGTAAAAGCTTCTGTGTGTAAAAGCTTTTGTGTGTAAAAGCGTCTGTGTGTAAAAGTGTTTGCGATGCAAACTATTGTCTTGCACTTCTCACTATTTTGTCTTGCTACTCCTCTTCTCGACTGCCTATAACACATCTTTCATATATTGTTTGTAAAATTGTGTCTCCATACTAACAAGAGAAGACCCTGCTCCTCTACGCTCTCGGGCCATCCGTCGTCTAGTACATACAGACGCTTTTACACACAAACACTTTGACACACAGACCCTTTTGCACACAAAAGCTTTGACACACTGACACTTTTGCACACAAAAGCTTTTACACAGAGACGCTTTTACACACTAACACTTTTACACACAGACGCTTTTACACACAGACGCTTTTACACACAGACGCTTTTACACACAGACGCTTTTACACACAGACACTTTTGCACACAAACACTTTTACACACAAAAGCTTTTAGCCACAGAAGCTTTTACACACAGAAGCTTTTACACACAGACGCTTTTACACACAGACGCTTTGACACACAGACGCTTTTACACACAAACACTTTTACACACAGACGCTTTTACACACAGACGCTTTTACACACAGACGGTTTTACACACAGACGCTTTTACACACAGACGCTTTTACACACAGGAAATCGCAATTTTACCTCAGTTTTCGACGATCGAACCTCATTTCGTGCGAAAGCGTTGCGCCGGACTAGTTGAAATCGCAATTTTACCTCAGTTTTTGACAATCGAACCTCATTTCGTGCGAAAGGGTTCGCGGGACAAGTGAAATCGCAATTTTACCTCAGTTTTTGGCGATCGAACCTCATTTCGTGCGACAAGGTTGCGCGGGACACCTTGAAATCGCAATTTTACCTCAGTTTTTGGCGATCGAACCTCATCTCGTGCGAAAGGGTTGCGTTTCGTGCCGTCTCGTTGCCACTGCCCCTGCCCCCGCCTTCAAGAGAGAAATAGAAAAGAAGGAGAAGGCAAGAGGGCAAGAGGGCAAGAGGGCAAGAGGAGAAGATGTGAAGAAAGATGAGAAGATGTGAAGATGTGAAGATGAGAAGATGTGAAGATGAGCAGATGTGAAGATGAGAATATGAGAAGATGAGAAGATGTGAAGATGAGAAGATGTGAAGATGAGAAGATGTGAAGATGAGGGATGAGAAGATGTAAAGATGAGAAGATGTGAAGAGGAGAAGATGTGAAGATGTGAAGATGAGAAGATGTGAAGATGAGAAGGTGTGAAGATGAGAAGATGTGAAGATGAGAAGACGTTTTACAGACCCCCACTATTGGAAGAACCCTGCGCTCAGACGCTCTCGGGAACTATTACAAACTAATATGTATTATGTGTTTACATGTATAACCTTTGGGTTACAACCCTGCAGATTCCAACACACAGCACTGGGGCTGCGAATAGCTCCCAAGAAAATATCGTCAGCCTAGCCTAGCTTGACATGGCCAGTCCATACACTGGGAACTGCTGGGTCCCGTTACGAACTGCGACCCATTCCATTTTTTTTTTTTGCTTGCACCCTCCCCCACATGAAGTGTGTTGGTCAATAAACCACAAACTGTTTATGAAATCCGAATGGTTGTTTTTGAAGCCTCCGCTTTTTGGCATTGGCACAGTTTTCCCTAGGTTTTGTTGGGATGACTCCCCCAACAGTGTGCACATATTTTTCCACATGGGCTTGTCTCAAAGCTGGGTGCCAAATGGTTACATTCCATCAGATCCTCACTATGTACCCTATTTCATTTTCCGTGAAATATCTCCGTGCAAATTCTACATTTAAGTGTATAAATCCTATGTATAAAGGAATATGATTCCAATCATGTGTATATATATAATGATCATGAGTTGATTGAATATCCAAATTTCAAGCATATTTCATGTGTACAAATACGTTTATTTTTCCATAATCTATCTAATTGCTCCAGGGTGACAGCATACATATAGGAATACGTAAACAAATATGCATGTATATATATATGTTTACATATATGTATTTGTAAATATATATGATTATATGTAAATATATATATATGTATGTATATATATATGTATGTATATATATATATATATGTATGTATATATATATGTATGTATGTATGTATGTATATATATGATTATATATGTATTACATGTACATATTATATACTTATATAAAATTATATATATATATATACAATGTGTGTATATATATATATATCAAAAATTTAAACTATAAATATATACAATATATTCCCAATGAATGCCCCTGGGATTCCCAGGCCATGGCAGCTCTGAGCGAGGCCTGCCGCGCCGCCTCTCGCTCCTCCGCGCCGTGCCTGGCACGGGTGGGATTCATGGGGTTTCACAATCAACCATGGGGATTCGAATCATGGCTGGCAAATCATACATGGCTGGCAAATCCCCATCAAAAATGGGCATCTAAAAATCCGCCGACCCCTGCCTTCGCCAAGGCGGGGGCGGCGCCTGGGACCACCGCAGGTGTGGAACCTGTTCCGTTTCCGACCTTCAAACGCCTCAAACCGTCTGCGGCAGCTTCGACCAGGCACTCAGGCCACAGCCATCTGGGTTTGCCACAGCCATCTGCTACTATTACGGCGTTCGAGCTTGCCGTTTGCCAGCCCTCAAATGCTCAAAATCCTCCGCGGCAGCTTCGACCAGGCACTCTGGCCACAGGCGTTTGTTGTTAGAGCCTTGAAGCCTGCCGTTTGCCTCCATGGCCCTCTGTTCTTAGGGCGTTCAAGCCTGCCGTTTGCCGGCCCTCAAATGCTCAAAATCCTCCGCGGCAGCTTCGACCAGGCACTCTGGGCCTGCCGTTTGCCTTCATGGCCCTCTGTTCTTAGGGCGTTCAAGCCTGCCGTTTGCCAGCCCTCAAATGCTCCAAATCCTCGTTTGCCTCCTGTTCAAGCCTGCCGTTTGCCAGCCCTTAAATGCTTAAAATCCTCCGCGGCAGCTTCGACCAGGCACTCTGGCCACAGGCCTTTGTTGTTAGAGCCTTGAGCCTGCCGTTTACCTCCATGGCCCTCTGTTCTTAGGGCGTTCAAGCCTGCCGTTTGCCAGCCATCAAATGCTCAAAATCCTCCGCGGCAGCTTCGACCAGACCCTCTGACCACAGGCATGTGTTGTTAGAGCCTTGCAGCCTGCCGTTTGGGTCCATGGCCCTCTGTTCTTAGGGCGTTCAAGCCTGCCGTTTGCCAGCCCTCAAATGCTTAAAATCCTCCGCGGCAGCTTCGACCAGGCACTCTGGCCACAGCCTTTGTTGTTAGAGGCTTGAAGCCTGTCGTTTGCGTCCATGGCCCTCTGTTCTTAGGGCGTTCAAGCCTGCCGTTTGCCAGCCCTCAAATGCTTAAAATCCTCCGCGGCAGCTTCGACCAGGCACTCTGGCCACAGCCTTTGTTGTTAGAGGCTTGAAGCCTGTCGTTTGCGTCCATGGCCCTCTGTTCTTAGGGCGTTCAAGCCTGCCGTTTGCCAGCCCTCAAATACTCAAAATCCTCTGCGGCAGCTTCGACCAGGCACTCTGGCCACAGGCCTTTGTTGTTAGAGCCTTGCAGCCTGCCGTTTGCGTCCATGGCCCTGTGTTCTTAGGGCGTTCAAGCCTGCCGTTTGCCAGCCCTCAAGTGCTCAAAATCCTCCGCGGCAGCTTCGACCAGGCACTCTGGCACAGGCCTTTGTTGTTAGACCCTTGCAGCCTGCAGTTTGCCTCCATGGCCCTCTGTTCTTAGGGCGTTCAAGCCTGCCGTTTGCCAGCCCTCAAACGCTCAAAATCCTCCGCGGCAGCTTCGACCAGGCACTCTGGCCACAGGCATTTGTTGTTAGAGCCTTGCAAGCCTGCGGTTTGCGTCCATGGCCCTCTAAATGCTCAAAATCCTCCGCGGCAGCTTCGACCAGGCACTCTGGCCACAGGCCTTTGTTGTTAGAGTTAGAGCCTTGCAGCCTGCAGTTTGCCTCCATGGCCCTCTGTTCTTAGGGCGTTCAAGCCTGCCGTTTGCCAGCCCTCAAATGCTCAAAATCCTCCGCAGCTTCGACCAGGCACTCTGGCCACAGGCATTTGTTGTTAGAGCCTTGCAGCCTGCCGTTTGCGTCCATGGCCCTCTGTTCTTAGGGCGTTCAAGCCTGCCGTTTGCCAGCCCTCAAATGCTCAAAATCCTCCCCAGCAGCTTCGACCAGGCACTCTCAGGCCTTTGTTGTTAGAGCCTTGCAGCCTGCCGTTTGCCTCCATGGCCCTCTGTTCTTAGGGCGTTCAAGCCTGCCGTTTGTCAGCCCTCAAATACTCAAAATCCTCCGCGGCAGCTTCGACCAGGCACTCTGGCCACAGGCATGTGTTGTTAGAGCCTTGAAGCCCTCTGTTCTTAAGGCGTTCAAGCCTGCCGTTTGCCAGCCCTCAAACCCTTAAAATCCTCCGCGGGTGCTTCGACCAAGCACTCTGGCCACAGGCATTTGTTGTTAGCGTCTTGAAGCCTGCCGTTTGCCTCCATGGCCCGTCGTTGTTAGGGCGTTCAAGCCTGTTGTTTGCCAGGCTTCAAATCCTTAAAATCCCCCGCGGCCTCGACCAGGCACTCTGGCCACAGCCATCTCTTGTTGTGCGTTCACGCTTGCCGTTCCCCTACAGCAAGCGCAGCGTCTGTCTATTTCATTTCCTTTTTTTCTTCGCCTTTTTGTCGGGAACGTGCCAATGTTTCTTCTGGCATCGTCTTCCTGACGGCGTGCCATGCGTGACCGCAATGCGCCCACATGACTGCGATGACCAAACAACAGTTGAGCACACCGGGCAACTGTGCGCATGACACCGTGTTGTCTTGCTTACTGCACCGTCCGTGACCTAAAACTGGTTGCCGCACACGGGTCGATTGTCGATTCGCCCTGTCCTGACATCGCTTCTCACACTTCCGTTGCAAAATGGACACCGGTAAACCAAGCCTTTCTCTGTAACAACGCCATCGTTCACAACAAATTGGTTCCCACATACCGTTCGATGGTTTATTCGCCCTGTCGCCACGTTACTAGCCACATGCCCATTGCACGCGGGACACACATAATCATACGCTTTCGCACAGAGGCGTCCTTCCCTCACTCTGAAACGGTGACCGCATGTGCGGCGGTGATCGACTTGGCCTGTGCATATAGTGCTGCATGGTCACAGACTGATCGCAATGAGGACACACGTATTGGAAACTCTTGCCTTTCTCCGTGGCTTTTGCTCCTTTTGTCGGCAGCGTCGCCGTCTCCGTCCAGTTGCTGCCTTCCTGTTTGCCACGCACATCTGCAAGACCCTTCTGTGGTCATTTCTGTTCCGTTCTCTTGTCTGCGGTGTTTTGCCTTCGGCGCTTCTTCCTGTTCTCTATTCCGCTTTCGTTCCGCGATGGCAGCCCAGACATCAGTCAGCGATGGCACGTGCCTTTTTTTTCTTCCGCTGCGCTGCCTTCGCCATGCCTGTTGCGGGTTCAAGACTGCCGTTTGCGAGCCTTCAAATCCCTAAACGCTCCGCAGCGGCCCTATACACACTCTGTTGTTGGGGCGTTACGCCGTTTGCCGGCCTTCAAACGCGTCAACCGTCCGCAGCGGCCCTACACATTCTGTTGGTCGGGGTTCAAGAGTGCCGTTTGCGAGCCTTCAAATCCCTAAACGCTCCGCAGCGGCCCTATACACACTCTGTTGTTGGGGCGTTACGCCGTTTGCCGGCCTTCAAACGCGTCAACCGTCCGCAGTGGCTCTACACACTGTCTTGTTGAGGCTTCAAGACCACCGTTTGCTAGCCTTCAAACCCTACACGCTCCGCCGCGGCCCTCCACACTGTTTTGCTGGGGCTTCAAAAGGAGGGTCGGCGGCACCCGGGCATTAGCCCATTCTATATCAACCATGGAAAAACCATCTATAAATGGCGGATTTTCAATGGATTTTACATATTTTTTGGATGTATCATGGGATATGATGGAAACCAATATCTTGGCATTTTTCGGATTTGCCAAGAGGAATTTCATCGATCGAAGCCCCAGCAAATGATGGATGGATATTATGGGATAGATGGGATGCAAGGGGATGGGAATATCATGGGAATGACACAAGTAAAATGTGCAAACTAGTGAGTTTTATGATGATGTTAAACATGGTCTTGACTTTCTGAATGTTTCATCTCCTTCAAAACCTTGAAACTGCATGTCACAGCGAAATCGATGCGACTTCCCAAAAAGTGTTCGACGCATGTAATGGCAAGATTTAGTGAAATCGATGTCGTCGATGCGACTAAAGTGTCTGACAGTCACAATTAAACTTTGCGACTAGAATGATATATAACTAAATTGGAGATGTTCGCCAAAAACAAGGTACCTGGGTTTCACGTAACATCACCCCAATCAAATTGGAAATTGGAAACATATGTTGTACTCCATCGGATTGAATACGGTCCCCAAGTCTGGACAAACCCAGGCTGGGAAGGGTCAATATTGATGAAGGAACACTTAAATGACCTTGTTTTCCGGGGAATACGAGAGGAACTATCTCAAGATTCGTGACAGTTCTTGATCCTGTGATGTCAGAGTTTGGAGGACGTGATTCAAACATCTCAAAAAACATCCAAAAATATCGGCGGATCTGATTTCACCAATATTAAGCCTATGTGACTAACAATCAATATATAATATATAGACTAACCAATAGTTCATTAGAATTGCGGATTTTTTTGGATCCGTCGGCGACGGTCTCGGAACCAGCCGAGGGCGGCTTCCAGAAGCGTTGCGCCGCTGCCTGCACTCCCAGAGATGGAGCAATCGAATTTCAAAGACTCTGGCCATCGTTGACCTGATCCCACAGGGGAAAGGGGGATGGCGGCTGGTATAAACAATGGGCACCTTCAAGCACAATATCATACAATATGACAATATCTATCTATCTACTAGCTATCTGCTAGCTATCTACTAGCTATCTACCTTAATCATTCTTGATCCAGTGTACTTGAATCTATAGTCTACTTTCATCTAGTCTACTCTGGTCTCATCTAATCTAAACATCCAATCTATCTGTATAATCTATCCATACTACCGTGTTTAGATGGCTTTAAACAAAAACTACAAAAACTGGGACACTAGTCAAACTCCAGCAGCATAGGGACGCTTAGCCCACTATGCTGGAATCGTAAGGCGCGCACATCCACATGAGTCGAACATGCTCCCTTTCTCGGTACCTCCAAGGCAGTGATGAAACGAATCTGAGACCATTGGAACAGGAGAACTACAGGAAATGAGGAAGGAATGGAATTTCCAATACCATTGAAATTGTATGAAATTGTGGATTTCCTGACATATTTCCTTCAGCCACCACGCACGCTTGGATAAATGTTCTGGTAAAGCTGTGCTGTCAACACTTCGGTTCAAGAGGTCTGTTGAAGGTCATTTTTTAAGATTGGATTGTTTTGTATTTCCAAGGAAATACAGTCTCGGGTCGTCGGGGAGTTGAAATCACCATATTCAACCCAACAGGCAAACTGGTGGCGCCAAGATTCCTATGGTTATCCCCACTTATGATCATTTCCTCAATTTTCAGTAACTTGCAGGAATCCAGAACTAAGATTTGGAGCTAAAACCCCCACATGGACCCATGGGTTCCTTTGGATCTTCCCTTAAGATCCCTTAAGTATCCTGGAATCACCGCACGAAGCTGGGATTCGACACAAAACCTGGTTCGGCGCACTGGACCCAAAGGTCCGACCTTGCCATGTCGATACAGCAGGCTGATGAAACACCAGTGGCTACAGCTCCGTTGCGGAGCAATTCCCAACGATTCTTTCGGTGACAGGTCATAAAGCGCTTGCAACACCATGCAACACCTATGAAAAATATTCCAAAATCAGCCAAGACATGGGAAGACCAAGCGGCAAGAACTTGTGAAATCTCAGCTGGAATCGGGACCCCGACCCTTCGGGGAAGTGTCGTGGATCTAGATAACCTGATTGGCGACCTGTGTGCGGGTGGATTCAAGCCGATGTCGAATGGCTCCAGATATGAGATAATCAAACATGCTCCATGGTCGCCTTGACTTTGAATTACAGCGGAATTTGTTTAGGGCATATGCCTCTCGCCACATTTTTGAATTTGGGGTGGGTTTCAGGGTT